CCCAACAGATCAAGGTCAAAAGAAAAATAAGAAATAAAAAAGGAAAGGCAGTAATGACTAATAACAAAAATAAAAGTGGTTTACTAAAGATTCTACAGATTTTGAAGGATGGTTAAGAAACATAACAACTTTTATCAATGAATTTGGCAACTAAAATGAAATAAAAACCAGATACACATTACCAAACTTCACCAAAGAAATAGATAACCTGAACAGCTCTACCTCTATTAAAGATATAAACACCAAGTAAAAAAAACCTTTTCACAAAAAAATGCTTTGTCTAGATGGTTTTACTGATGAATCCTATAAAGCATTTCAGAAAGAAATAATATCAATTTTATAAAAATTTATTTAGAAAACAGTAAGGGAGGGAATAGTTTTCAACTTCGTGAAGCCAATGGTTCTCTGAGGAGCCTAGGGTTGTAGCTCAGCATGGCATGTGTTGAGCATGTGAAAGGCCCTGAGGTTCAATCCCCCCACCATAAACCTCACCAAAAAACCACATTCCCCATCACCAAAATCAATGATAACAACAAAATAAAACTATAAGCAATATCCTTCATGAACATAGACTGAAAAATCTTAAGAAACTTGAATTACTTGAATTAAGGTATAAAAAGGATAATAAATGATAATCAAGTGGATTTGTTCCAGGAATGTAAGCTTGGTTTAACATTGAAAACTCAGCAATAAAATTCATCATATTAAAAGAGAAAAATAGTTAGATGCAGAAAAAGCACTAAACAAAATATACAACTATTCATGATAAAAAGTCTCAACCAACTACAACAGACAGAAGCTTCCTCAACCTGATGAAGGTCACCTAAAAAATGTGTATTATACTTAATGTAAAAGCCTCAATGTTTCTCATTTTAAGACTGGAAACAAGGTACAGATACACATTCTCACTACTTCTATTCAATATTATTCTGGAAATTCTCAACTCCAAAATTATGAAATACTAATTGGAAAGCAAGACATAAAACTTGTCTTAATTCACCAAAGACAAAATCATCTATAAATAATTTAGAATATGTAGAAAATTCTAAAGAATCTTCAAAAAGTTACCAAAGTAAGTTTAGCAGATGGCAAGACATATCAATGTATGAAAATCTTTATTTATTGATTGATTGACTGATTGGTACTGGGGCTTGAACTCAGGGCCTATACCTTGAGCCACTCCACCAGTCCCTTCTTTGTGAAGGGCTTTTTTGAGATAGGGTCTCACGAACTATTTGGGCTAGCTTCAAACCACAATCCTTCTGATCTCTGCTCCTAGGTAGCTAGGATTACAGGCATGAGCCACCGGCACCTGGCTTATTTCTAAATACTAGAAATGAAACAGTATAAATTGAAAATTATAAAAACATTTATAATACCATCAAAAACATAAAATACTTGAATTCAAGACAATGTAGAATTGGTATAAAGATAAAAACATATATGTTGATGAGGCATTTAACGTTATGAAAAGGTACTAAAGTGATTCAATGTACAAAGAATAATATTTTTAACACGTGGTCCTAGAAAAACTTGATGTCCACAGATAAAGAATGAACTTTGAAGCTGGATGCAGGGACTCAAGTCAAAATTCTAGCTCCTTGGGAGGCAAAGATTGGGATGATTGTGGTTCAAGACCAGTCTAAGCAGAAAGTTTTTGAGACTTCAACTCAACCAATAAAAGCTGGGTGTGGTGGCATGTGCTTGTAATCCAAGGCTATGCAGAAAGCATAAATAGGAGGATCACAATGCAGGCCAGCCTGGGTATAAAGTGAGAAACATCACCAAAGCAAAAAGAGCTGAGGTGTGGCTCAAGTTGTAGAGCACCTGTTTTGCAAGGACAAGGCCCTGGGATCATAATATATACCTCATAGGAACATGTATGCATAACAAAGGAAACAACAGAGTAAAGAGACAACCTATTAACTAGAAGAAAATATTTGCAACATACATAGCTGATAGCAGATTAATATCTGAAATATATAAGGAACTCAACTCTACAGAAAGAAAACAACAGAATTCAGAAATGGGCAAGAAACCTAAACTTAAGACATTTCTCAAAAGAAGACATACTGCTGGCTCACACCTTCATCTAGCTACTCAGGAGGTGGAGAGGAGGATTGTAGATTAAGTCCAGCACAGGCAAAAAGTTCACAAGACCCCCATCTTAATCAACAGCTGAGTGTGCTGGTGTGCATCTGTTATTCCAGCTACTGCAGAAAGCACAAATGAGGATTGTGGTTCAAGTTCATCCAGGGGGAAAAAAGTGAGACCCTATCTCAAAAATAACCACAGCAAAAAGGCCTGAAGTATGGTTCAAGTGGTAGAGCACCTACCTACCACGAGCCCCTGAGTTCAAATCCTAGTAGTACCAAAAAAAAAGATACAAATGGCTAAACAAAGCATGGAAAAATGCTCAATATCACTAATTACTCCAATATCAAATTAAAACCACAATGAGGTATTACCACACACCTGTTAGAATGGCTATTATCAAAGATGAAAAATTAACAAGTAATGCAAGGTATTAAGAAAGAGGAACCTGTTTCTTGTACACTGTGGGTGGGAATGTAAATTAGTACAACCATTAGTTCATCCAGGGGGATGGACCTCCAGTATGGAGGTTCCTTAAAAATCTAAAAATAAAAATTACCATATGATCCAGCAATGCAACTGCTAGGTATTTACCTACAAGATTTGAAATCAGGGGGCTGGAGGTGTATGTAGCTCAGTGGTAGGGCTCACGTTTATTAGCATGTACAAGGCCCTGCGCTCAATTCCCAGAACCAAAAACAGAATCAAAGAAACCAGTATGTCAAAGAGATGTCTGCATTCCCTTGTTCACCAAAACACTATTCACAATAACCAAGTTATGGAATCAATCTAAGTGCCTATTGATGAATGAATGGTTAAAGAACATATGGTCTATACATAATGGAGTAATTTTTACTCTTAAAAAAGAAAGAAGTTCTGCCATTTACAACAACATGGATGGAACTGGAGAGTATTATGCTAAGTGAAATAAGGCAAACAGGCAGACGAATGCTACATGTTCTCGTTTACATGTCATATCTAAAAACTGAATTCATAGAGGCAAAGAGAAGGTAGATGGTTACCAGAGGCTACAGGTTGGAGGGAATGAGGGAAGTAATAGTCAAATGGTACAAACCTCAGTGAGATAGGAGGAATCCTAAGTTGGTTTTTTTTTTCCCCTTTGGAGATCTATTGCAATATAGTATATGTGTATGAATATAGATAATAACTGAGTAATGTATACTTCAAAATTGGTAAGAATAAATTTCAAATGATTTTATCATAAAATGCTAAATATCTGAGGTGATGGATGTTATCAGTTTGGTTTAATCATTCCAAATTATATTAAAAATTACAGCAGACCTGGGGTTGTGGCTTAAGCGGTAGAGTACCTATCCACCAAGAGGGAGGCCCTGAGTTCAAACTCTAGTTCCATCAAAAAAAAAAGTCACAACTACAATTTGTACCCCAGAAATATATACCACTATAACTTGTAAAGATATAATAAAAAAAATAAATGAACTTGTATCAAGGACATATAAAGAACTCTTGCACTCAGTGAGACAAACGATCTATTTGGACTCCACCAAAGAAAACAAATGAATAGCAAGTAAGTCCACAAAAATATGATACTATTATTAGTTGTCATAGAAATGTAAATTAAAATTAGAAGGTATTACTACACCAACCAGATCAGTTAAATTAAAAAGACTGACAATTCCAAGTGTTGGCAGGGATTTAGAACTGGCAGATTTGGAAAGTGCACAGCTACTCTGGAAAACAATTTGGCAATACCTCATAAATATATACCTGTCATACGACCCAGTCATTACATTCCTCAATACCCAAGAAAAATGAAAACACGTATATATAACAGAAATTTGTATGAGGTAAACAACAACTCTGCTCATAACAGTAAAATTAGAAACAATTCTAATGTATATCAACTAACGAACAGATGAACAAATAGTGGTATATTCAAATAATGCAAGTTCAGCAATAAAAACGAATAACAGGAACACAGTATCAATGAATTTCAAAAGATACTGTGCTGTGTGAAAGAAAATAAAAGACCACATACTGTATCTCATTTATAAGATGAAATCTAGAAAAGGTGAAATTATAGTGAAAGAATGCAGAGCAAGGGTTTGTCAGGGCCAAGAGTGAGGGGAAGAGACTGCCTGCAAAAGTGCAAGAGAACATACAGGGTGAGAGAAATGTTTAACTTGAATGAGTGGTGTTTATACAACTATGCACAATTATTAAAACTCTTCAAACTTATCAACTTAAAATGTATGGATTTTATCATAGGTAAATTATACCGCAAATCTGTTTTTAAAACATAAGCATTTTGAGAAAGTAGCTTTTAAGGAGAAAAAAAATCCCTAACTATATACACTATATACATTTCTGTATAATGTCTCAAAGGTACCAGAAAATAAAGCATATAAAAATCTAATTCAATAAAATAATCCATAAATCTATTGACCATCCACTTTAGGTCATTGTGGTATTTTTAAAATGTTTAAATATTATTTTTAAATATGTATACATGTCTATGTATGGATACACCTACTGTACAATATGATAGCATAGTTTGCACTATTCCATATTTCGTTATGTTATCATATCTTGGTGATCTTTCAGCCCACAAAAATGTCCTGACCTTTTTCTCTGAAAGACAATGAGGTTTCTTATTCCCCTACTTTACAGATTCTCCTACTTTTAAGAGGCAAATAGCTGTATTTTTTTAAAGCTGGGATAAGTGTTATTTTAAATCTAAAATATAGGTTCTCACTTGAAAAGTCAGACTTTCAGCTCATAGTCTATCAGAACACTTCCAAATATGCTCATTATCAGGACATAAACTATGAGTGGATCCTACAGAAGCATGTAGAATTTATACAGACACATTAGAAACAATACTAATTAGAAAAAACTACTGACATAAGTAACTTGCACAGTACCTTTTGATAAACAATGGAGCACACAAGATCCTTGACAGCAGATAAAGACAGTTCCTGGGCTTCGATGGTAACATTCTCTCTTGTGAGACCAATCTGCAGTAGAAATGAAACTGTATGCACTGAGCCTCTGGAGTTGGTGAGTGACTGTGTACTGAAGCTTCCATTAGAGAGTCGGGTGGAGAGTCCGGTCTTAGGACTTGAACACGGAGAAGGAGCAGGAAGCACAGCAGAAATAGTCGCAGGTAACACAGACTTCTGGGCTGATGGAGGGGAATTATTTGCAGACATCTGCCTTTCTTTAGTCTTAAAAAAGTTGTCAATTCTTTTTAAATAGTTATGAAGAGGTTTTCAAAATAACTGCAGTAAAAAAAAGACCACACTTCTGAATTTAGATGAAAGCTGCTTTATTTCCTCTACCAAGCCTCTCATAACGATGACTGCAAATTCTACCACAGGGAGTTGAATGCACAAAATATCCTACTTCTCTTCATCAGTCCCATCAAGAGTCTTATCTTTAAGACCACAACCCAGTAGATTTGTAAACAATTTCACATCACTGAGTTATCTTCATGAGAACACAGCAAATATTGCTTATTTACATCTTCTCTTATTTAAGTCTGTTCTTGTCTCCTGCTTTTTATTTCAGAAAATAAATACTGAATAAAAGTTGTTTTCTGTCAAGACGAAGTCGTCCTGATATAAGAAAGTATTTGGATTAATCTATTCAACACTTATCCTTTGGTTCAATGACTTGGTGGGACATCTTCTCAAACAGCCACACCTTAAATCATCCTTTCAAATGTCCTCATTTTCATTTTGCTGGGTGAACTGTTCCATGATGAATTAAAAAGCTTTTAAAAATAGTACAAGCATATTTCATTTGATGAATGGGTCCACAGAGAAAAGTTGATGCTTTCTGAAATGCTGTCAGCCTAGAAGGAATTTTTTAAAAGGTTTTTAATATTTTATATTCATTTGGCATTAATTTTAAAATGTAAGAATTCTGTAATTTTTTTAAGTGATAATTTTTGGTAGTATGTTTGTAAGTCAGGAATATATCCTAAATAGGTAGCCATTTTCTGTCTAGTTTTCAGAATCATTTTTTACTATAGGTATAATTTCAGAGAGGGCCCTCTGCTTGAAAAACATTCCTGGCCTGAAACTTGAAGAAAAAAAAATTTTTTTTAATTTATTGGCCAGGCACTGGTGGCTCACATCTCTAATCCTGCTACTTGAGAGGCTGAGATCAGGAGCCTCTCAAGTTCAAGGCCAGCCTGGGCAAACAGTTCACGAGACCCCATCTCTAAAATAACCAGAGAAAAATGGACTAGAGGTGTGGCTGAATCAGTAGAGACTGCTTTACCCTAGTTCAAACTTCCAGACCCACCCCCCTCAAAAAATTATTTTGTATTTTCTTTCTTTTTTCTTTTATTTTCAAGACAAGGTCTCAATATATTGCCCAGGCTAGTCTTCTGGGCTCAAGTGATCCTCCTGCCTCAGCCTCTCAGGCAGCTGGAACTACAGGAACCCATGTACCGCATCCAGCTGTAATTTTTTTTTATTGTTTTATTATTCATATGTGCATACAACACTTGGGTCATTTCTCCCCCCTGCCCCCGCCCCCTCCCTCTCCCCAGACCCAACACCTGGCAGAAACTATTTTGCCCTTATCTCTAATTTTGTTGAAGAGAGCCAGCTGTAATTTATTGTATTTTAAACTTATGAATAGAGAAAAATAGAAGAGACAAAAAAGAAAAAACTGACATGGTCACAGACATAAAACTCATTCAGCTCAGCCATAAGAAAGATGTGTAATTTCTTAATATAGGTTATATTAGGGTCTAATTCCATCCAAATATGACTCCCGAGTTGCTCTGATGACAAATTCCTTTTGGAAGGCTAAGGAAGCATGAGGGGATATACTGGACAGTTATATGGCCAACAAAGGGTGAATATTGCATACTTATGATAGCAGCACAGGAGAAAATGGTCTCATTATAAGGGACTTCTAACAGTAGGAAAGTGAACCTTAGGTATAGTTAATTATGTTCCATAGATTTTAGAAAAACACAGTTAAAAAAAACAAAAAAAGCCCTCAAAAGGTATGACCCTACACAGCTAAGTACAGTGGCTCACAAGATATGGCTCCTTCTAAATTCCATCTATGTACCCATGAACAATTTCAATGATGAGACAGTGAAGTATCCAGTGTGGTCACAGAGCAGTTAATGGGGATAAATTAGGATGAATATGACAGAAGAGCAAAAATACACAGATAAAGTAATAAAATACAAATGAGAAAGCTCAGGAAAAAACAGGCAAAAAAACTGCTGAAAGATAAAAAAACATTTATAGCTATATTCAAGTAAATGACTATCATTCCTTCTTATACAGCACTTCACAAGCCTGTGAACGTTTCACATGTGTCTTACAACACCTCTTTGAAAGCTGACAGGGGTATATTATCAATTTTGCAGATGAGAAAACTAAAACACAAGGTAATAAAGCAATTCGCCTAGTTATCAAAGGCTACAAAGAGGCAGAGTGGAAATTAAAACCCGTTTCATGCTTTCTTACCTAGTGCTGTCTCCACAATAACATACTGTTTCTCAAAGAGAATAAGGAACTGAGAATCACTGCTCAGAGAGGATGTTGTTAAGGCTGAGAGATTACACAGAGAATTGCTCAACTTCTATCTTGCTTATCTTCTCCCAACCTTTTAAACTAAAGCTGAGGAAAAGCACCGAGAACTGAAACCTGAGCTTCATGAATAAGAAAGACTAAACCTTTATTTACTTATTTTTGAGACATGGTCTTACTATGTAGCACAGGCTAACCTCAAACTCAACAATCCCATTGCCTCAGCCTCCTGAGTGTTGGGATTCTAAAACAGCTTCATGTGAGTTTCAAGTCTCTGGGCCCAGATGCAGTCCATTCCATACAGCTAAAGCTGTGACTATGTATCATCACAAAGATGACTTACAATTTTGGAGAAGGCTCACAATGAGTGAACATGACCTGAAATGGGTAGAGCTGCCTCAAGTACTGGGGGCTGGAGAAACAGTAAGTAAATTTCAGAAGATATAAACTTCTAAATCCTTAGCCAAATCTGAGAATATATCATGAACCAAATAGTTTGTGGGTAACTAGAGAATACAATGGTCACTAGATGTCAGACCAAATTCAAACAGAGTAAGTTAACGCCAAGTCTACATTTACACTTGGAAAAGATGACCTAGGAGACTTCTTAGATGGAGGAAACAATAGTTTACATTCATGGAGCTCTTACACCTGCCAGACACTGTTCTAAGCACTTTATTATGTATTACCTCATTTAATCCTCATAATAATCCATTTTATAATTGAGAAAACAGAAATTCAGAGGCTAAGATACTTGCTCAAGATCATGAAATAAGCAAAGCCAGGGGAAGAAAGCATATGCTGACAAAAATAGTATTCAAGATGGTTCTCCATGCAATGTTTGTAAATACATTGCACAAGTGCGAGACAGATGCCAGTTAAGTCACGTAAATTTGCTGCTGTATGTATTAAGTGACTCTGTCCTTAACCCTGTATTGTTTTTCATTATATATGAGGTAATAAAAGATGATGATATTCATATAAAAACTTTAGGTTGAACAAACCCCAGAGGAATAAACTAAAACTAAAGTGAGACTTAACAAGGATGAATGCAAAACTTTGCATTTAGTTTCAGAAAGCTAAATGTGCAACATAAAAATGGGGAAACGCTGAGTTGGAAGCTGCTCATGAGAGTAGGTTATGAACACAAGGCTTAATATGAGCTAATATAATGGATGACTAAAAGAACTAATGCAAACCTAAATCCCCTAGACACTGAGAACCCACTGTTACCAATCTGTGCATTCAGTGGTTAGTCAGCCTACACCACTATTATTTTTACTTCTATGAGCCACATTTTTAGATGTATAGATTTTTAAGATGTGAGGCAGGGAAAAGCATGCATCCAGATACAAGCAAAAACAGCATCATGTGATTTAATAAAACCAAATACACAGAATAGTTTTCAAATATTTGAAGAGGTGTAAGAGAAGGATTGGTTTTATTCAATGCAAGATTAGTAAGCAAAACAAAATCACAGGTTGTAAGGACTGAGTTCCTTTATGTAAAGTAGCGATAACAGTACCTGACTTACAGTGTTCAAATTGTTCAATAAGCTTAGCAATTTTCATAGTAATCAGATGTCTTTCCGCTAAATTTCCATTTCATTATGCCAATTAATATTTACCAAGTTAGAGTAATCGTTTAATACTTTGCTAATTTACCAAAACAAATGGTAATTATAATAAACTATACACAATTCTGTATAAATGTGACTTTTTAAAAGTTTCAGCATGAATACAAATATAAGAAGCTGTTACAGTCATCCCATCTGTTTCTTTTCTCCTTATTTTATTTGAGGACCTTGATTTGCTCTAAGATGCAACAAAATGTAGGGCACAAAACATTAAGACTAAGTATGAAAAGAAATGTAGTAATTCTACATGGCAAAATATTGAGACTACGTATCAAAAGATCTAGCAATTCTACATTAACCTTGACTGTTGCTTAATTTTTTGTCTTTATGCTTCACCTAGAAAGCTGAAATAGTATATCTTATTAATTTATAAACTATATTAATTAGATATGTTGTTTCTAACAGCTATGAGATCTCTAAACATGATAGTACTGTCTAGTTGGTAAGAATTTCTGTTATATTTATTTGAAACACCTCAAATATTCTTTTGGGAAAGTATGTGTTAATATCCCATTCAAATGAACTTACATAATCTGTTCCTTTTGTTGAGTGGAATCATAAGACAAGGTATTAAAGGTGTTTTGATCCCAGTCTGACCAATTATTACAGACCAGGTAAAACAATGGGCCTAGAGGTTAGGGCACTTGGTCAAAAAGTACAGTTACTTCATGGTATTATCACAAACTGACCTACCTTCTTTGCCTACCCTCACTACCCTGCCTTCAACACAGTATTTCCTACTTCAACAAAGTCTCTAATTAAGAAAAGCTCTAATACCAGTATTTTTATTCAATGAGTACTCACTGAGTAGGTATTATTTGCCAGACTGCCATGGCAGACAGTAAAGTTACACAGCAGTGACTAAAACAGACATGGCCACTGCTCTCTCTGGAATTCACAGACATTAAACAAACATTTGCATAAGTAGCTGGGTAATTACAAACTATGAGAAGTGATATGACAGAGTATACGAAGAGAACTTAATTTCGGCTCGGGTCTCAAGGGAGGTCCCTTTAAAGAAATCATATTTTAGCTGAGACCTTTGGGTAAGTAGTAGTCAGAGAAGCAGTGAAAGAGAGACAAGAGGATTCCAGGAAAACAAAACATATCTGGTTATTACGTATTTCAAAAGGAAGCTCATTATTTAGTGCAGCCAGCATTCTTTTTATGCTCAGTAAAGGCTAAAGTGAAGAGGAAAAAATCCTTTTCCTATTCAGAATAGTATTTACTATGACCTCCACCAGTAAAAGAGTTGTCCAGGTTCAACTTAGTTTTATGTGCTAAGAATTCTCATGAAATGGAGGGCTGTGTGTCCTGTCCCCCTCCCCAACCCTGTCATGATGGTATATACATGTATTCTTTTAATATGTAAAAATGCGTGTCAAAAAGGCCCTTTTCAATGCAATACTGGCCAGTGTGCTGAAGTGAACGTCCATCCTGATACTGCTTTTTTAGTGTGTAAAAATTCAAGTACCTCTGTTGATTTCTAAAAATACATCCACTTCTGTATTTTCAAAAACATAATCATTACTTTGAATAATATAATACTCTCTCTCCCAGGGGCTCAGCATTCGACTGTATTGTTTCTTCTAAAATTCTGCTCATCTGGACCACTGGCATTTGAACCTCTTCCGCTGTCAGGCAGAACACTGAGAAGGCACATCATGTGTGCGTGTGTACTCTGCTCATGGACTGAAAAGTACATCTGGTAATATGATTACAGAGCAACAGTCTGGCTATGCAATGTGAAGAAGCTATGTGGACCGTGATATATATCTTCATCTTTGTACCAGTAGTATCTAAGAAATCTGATTGGCTAATAGCCAGTGAACAATTTCTCACATACCGCCCCTATAAACTAACCACACAAGTAGAGAAAAGTTCTTTTTCCTACATTGAAATTAAAACTAAAATATCTCCTAAGTAACTTGCCTTAACTTTTTAAGATGACTGCTCCAAAGAGGCACTACATATAACAAGTTCAATTTGAATTATGTAATAAAGGATACTCAAACTAGGATCAGCTCAGATTATTAAACTGAATTAAAACTCATACTAGCAAATAATTGCCCCATATATTAAATTCTGTTCAAGTAGTTGCTTTTAAAAATGAGCACTTAAACACCACTGTGGTTAATATTTTTTTTAACAATTTAGAACGTTTTTCAAAAATGAGAACAAAATATCTCTTTTGTGAAAAGTGCATTTAAATGACCATCTATTCATTTTTTTCCTGTATGAGATGTTTTCAATTCATAATTTAAAAAAATTTGTATATCTGAAGGTTTATTTATTAAGTTCTTTTGTGTGTGGCAGTGTTTAAATTAAAAACAATCCACAAACAGAACGAAATGTCCACTTTAAAAAGGTCATCTGATGAAACCGAAAGCTTGTAAAATGTGCGTAACTAAAACACTGCTATATGGGATGCTTAAAAACAAAGTTTTAAAATATGTACCAGTGGACATTCTTGAATCTCAATAATCCTGAAATGTGTTATTAGACAGGAATACTCCAAGCTCAATCACTCAGGTCCACCACATTTACAGCATTATCTTCTGGAGCAAAACCTCTCATGAAGTGACAACGTTTTAAGTGCTACTTCTACTAAAACCTTGCAACTTCTACTTTTGGCCGAATTGCCATCTTTGATCTCACCCAGGTTCTAAGTGGGGAGGGAGAATGGGCTCGAATTAGAGAAAAACTGAGTAACACTGACCTAGCCCTCAGTATGGGAACTTCATGCAGCAAATGCATTCTCTGCCCTCACACTGCATTAAAAGTTAAAGCTTGACTGAAGCACAATTAAAATCGCTGAAAACATAACCGCAACATCAGGCCCAAAGTAAAAGCATCTTGAGAGCAGTATTGTCTAGGGTGCAAATGAAGGCATTTAAAAAGTTTTTTTCGTCTCGTTTGAGACTACAGCTCACAGAGGCCGCCTCCAACAAAGTAGTAGCTGAGGGTGTAACTTATCCTTCCTAATCAAAGATGACACCGATCATCTTACTTCCTGCGGGGCTGGGTGTGGTTGAAGAGACAGTTACATTCATGCCATCAATCTGTGCATGGAAAAGTCTGCAGGTCGCCTGTCGCCCGATTGATACTTGTGCTTGCAGACGGCAGGCAGGCCCGGGCTGCTTGCGGTTATGATGACTTGAAATAAAATATCCAAGAAGCAATCGAGTAACGCAGTGTGGGGTGATTTTTACTGCTTCGCACTCGCGGGTGTTTCATCTTAAGGAAAACCTCCCGGGGGCGAGAACAGCTCTGAGCAACGCTGCAACTTGCAACCTGAAGGCGGGCAGTCAGGAAACTGGGGTCGGGGCTCACATCCTCCGAACATCGCCGCTCTCCCCTCCACACCCGCCCAACGCACGGGGATGGAAAGAAACAAGTCTCCTCCAGACCCCGGCACTTGGCAGCGCTGCCGTCAGGACCCTGGAACACACGGTCCCCGAGGGGCCGGTGGTCACCAGCAGAGCGCCAGTCCAAGTTGGCCTGGGCGCCTGCCGACGCAAGAACTTGGCCGTACCGGCGCCCCCCGCTCCCCCGGGCCGGGTCCCCGTGCACCGCCCCAACTTCCCGCCCAGCCCGCGGCCGCCGCCCAGCCCCGCGCGTGTCCGAGTCCCGCGGCCGCCGCCGTCGTCGTCGCCGCCGCCGCCGCGTGCGGACGGTGGGGGAGGGGCCGCGCCGCCACAGCCCGACGGGCCGGGAGAACAAAGCGGCGGCAGCTGCAGCGCGAACTTTTTCGGTGTCTGCTCCGCGCTCCCTGAGGCGACTACTTACAAAGGCGGGCTCGTTCGGTCGCGAGAAACTCCGCGCCCGCTAACGTCTGGGTCCCCGAGCAGGCGCCAGCGAGGTTTCATGCGCCTCGCAGGATCCCGCCCGCTCGCCCGTCCTCCCGCCCGCCGCCTGCGCCCCTTCCTCCCTCCCTCCCTCCCGTCCCGTCCTCAGGCCGGAGGGCGGGGGGCGGGGGCGCGCGGCCGGCGCGGGGCTTGCCGGGAGCTGTAGTTCCCCCGCCGCGCGGGGCCGTGGAGACTCTGGGTGTGCGCGGGCTCGTTCCGTACCCCGTGAGGTCCCGGCGTCGGGGTGCGCGGGCGGGCGAGGATGCGGCTGTGTGTGTGTCCAGTGACGCACTGGACTTGAACCCTGCTAGAACCGCGGACCCGCCTTTTTCTCTGAGGAAGGCGATGGCGGCAAGAAGTGACAACTTGCACTGGGGACTTGAAGGTGTCCTGGGCTGAGAGCAGTTTCTGCTCCGGGGTGCCGCCTCGCTGCCCCTCGCGTGATCCTCCCTCCCAGACAGACCCATCCGAGAGCCCGTCACCTCGGACGCAGGGAACCAGCCAAAGCGGCTGTTTTCACTGTTCTGTGTCTCCTCCTTGTCCATCTTGACACTCGAGTGTGTTCCCTACCCCGAAGTGAAGTGCAGTCTAGAACCACCCAACCTATAGGCTTCCCACGCGTGGGAATGAGGGTGGCGATGCGGGCGAGTGGGGCAGGAGTGGAAGTCACATAAGGATCTAGAAGGAAATTACAGGTTTATGTGCGTTCTGTTATAGATGTCGTATGTGACAGGAACGCTTGAGGGGCTGAGCCATTGTCACAGAAACGACAAAGTTCTCCCATGTCAGCATGTTATCTCAAAGAATACATAAGTAAAATAAGTTGAAGCAACCAGAGGGGCTACAGCCAACAGTCAGTCATCTGGTACAGAAGTCAAGAGGATAGCTTTTGAAATAGAACATAATCCTAAGTGGGCCCCTGCTTTTGACAATTTATCACTCTTAATAGATATTCCTAGATTTGAAGTTAAGAAATAAGATTATTGATTGGCTGATTGATTTTGGCATTGGGGGGTGTTGAACCCGTATGCATGCTAAGCAAATACTCTACTACTAGAAAAGGAAATTACAAAGTAAGTTATATTAAAGATGGGACAAGTAAAATTGTGCATAAACTACTCCAAAGCTATTTCTTTTTAAAAAAGACATTTCTAACATATTCTCAGGAATTGGAAGCTGCTGACAGCCAGAAGCATTCAGACTTAAAGTCTTATTCCGCCATTCTTTTACAATTGAAAGTATATTCACTCAAGTGTACTTTCTTTTTAAAGAATTCCCTTGCCTAACTTTGTCTTTTCTTCCCTTCCAGTTCCCAACAGATGTTTTTAGTCCAGCCCCAAATATCCTCTCTCTCTCTTCAAGATTCCCAAGACCTCATTGGAGCAGTTTGCAGCCAGTTTCAACTCACTATTGACTTCCATTTTCTGTTGTAGTCCTTAAAGAGACATAGTTACTCTTCCAGAAGTAATTTTTCTAAATGAATTAAACTGCTATTTTTCAGAGACTTAATATTTATGTATGTGTGAGAATAGAAAGATTATACATTTATACATATATAAATGTAAATTCATTACATTCCCATTGTTCAGCTTCTCTTTTTAAAAATAGTCTTCCCTACTTCAGTTGAATTTTTCAGCCTGTGTAAGCCTCTTTGTACATGAACTACAGTTTCCTCAAGACTTCCATTCTTGTTCTAAGAGTATTACAGAGCTAAAGAGACAGGGTTTAAAGAGAAAATGCAATCTGAATGACTAAGATGGGAAGGTCATTTCTTCTCAGTAGTACTTTATGAAAATGGGCACTTACAATCTCTCCCTTCTGTGTCTTCAGGTGCAAATCTTCCTGCCCCGAATTTAATGCCCATCCTTGTACTTAATGACATGCACAGAATTGTTCACACGCTACAGTATGATATCAAGTAAAGAGGGCCTGGTGACTTGAAATTGCAAAACTACCTGATTCAGAATCCTAAATGCTAAATGCTAAATGCTAAGGACCAGCTAGATGAAACAGGCATCATTTTAAAACTTCAGTTAGGATTAATTTATAGAATGTGGTTACTGGAAACTTATGTTGCATTTGTGTCTTCTTTCCATGATATTGAAACACAGCTAAAAATTTAGAAAGTATTTGGATGATCAACACAGTTAGGTAAAAATAGGGGAGAAAATGCATTAGGATCTATTTCTTTATCAGCAGCTACACTTTAGATGTAATCTTCAAAACACCCTATCCTACCCAGTATGATGGTACACGACTGCAAATCCCAGCACTCAGAAGGCTGAAGCAGGAAGATCATGAGTTGGAGGGCAACCTGTGCTACATTGTAAGATCCTGTCTCAAAAAACAAGCAAGCAAACAAAGAAACACCCCAAACAGCAACACCCCATCTGTTACCATCATTTATCCTAGTTAGAATCTCAATCTGGATTAGTACAACAGCTTTTTAGTTGATCTCCTTCTAGACTAGCTCAAACTATTACAACCTTGGTAAATCATTCACGATGGTTACACTCTTCGTCTTTGGTTTGCAAACTGTAAGCAATTGTTCTGTACTCTGACAGCCCTTGATGGACAATTTCCATGTCACTTCTCACATTTTATTGTGGGTTGAGTGTATGTAGGATCCTTCTGGGCTCTCTACTTTTCTCTACTGAACTTATGGAAAGCCATATCTGATTTTTATTTACTCCTCACTTAGCATAGTGCTCAGTAAATTTTGATTGAATTGGTGATTGTTTTCAATATGTCTTGATTATATTGGTTAGCCTAGTAGTCCTAAAATATTACATGATAAACTCTATAATTGTTGCCTACTGCTTACTAGCTGAGTTCTTCTGCTTGGATATAAAGGAAATTCATAATAGCTACCATTAAGTGAACACCAGCCCCGGGTCAGACAAACTGATTCATTTTTTATATAGGTTTCTTTGTCTATTCCACCTAACTCATTCCTTTTCATTATTTGCATTTATATTTAGCCTTATATAACTTTCATTTAACTTATACGTAGTAATGTTTAATTACATATTTATTACACAACAAAGTATATAGACATACATGCATACCATAGTGTATGGCCCAAAAGACATTAGGAATGGATTGCTTGACTAAGAGGAAGATTTGGAAAATCTGATAATAAGAGAGAGATTACTGCATCCACCTAGGATTGCATATGGTGTCCTGACAAGTGAATATTCACGTAATTTGCAATAAAAAACAATTATAATGCCCACCCCAGGCAATTCCTGTTTATCTTTGTGGTTACAAAATAGATTTCTCCAGGAAAAGGAAAGTAATACATAAATGTGTTCATGGGTTTTTAAAATGAAATTAACATTAAATTCCTTTGGACTATCGAGTAATTCTCTTATTCTGGATTTAATTTGAATATTAATTTTAAAACTCTTTTTCACGCCTGTAGTTCTAGCTACTCAGGAGGCATAGATCAGGAGGATCACTGTTTGAAACCATCCCGGGCAAATAGTTCGTGAGACCCTATCTCAAAAAATAACTGACCAAAAAAGGCCAGCTCAAGTGGTAGAGCACCTGCCTAGCAAGTGAGAGGCCCTGAGTTCAAGCCAAAAAAAAAAAAACAAACAACAAAAACCTAGAAGTCAATGTCATCATTGCAATAAATTCTTATGGAGTATGTTTCAATATTCATCAATCTTCTGTGGTATTAATAAAATCGTTGACACTCCCAAATATGTTTCATTGGTATAAGGACAAAGTTGAGTTAAAGGCAATTGAGTCTCACAGATACAGGAGGCTTTCTCTACCTTGCTTTATCTGCATAATAAAGGCATCTGACCCCCTGCCAAACCTCTCAGCCTGTACCTGGGAGAGAAGGGCTGCTGTTCTCATTAAAGGCAGAGCCAACACCAGGATGAGTCTGTATCAACAGGCCTTAACTTTCATGACTTCACTCACATATTTCTGTACTTACTCAAAACCAGTCAAAAATTACAATTATTTTAAAGATCAATTTTTTTTTTTCTGGGATCATTTCAAAGTTTTCTTGCAGGGTTAACGCAAAGGGGACTTTCTTACTCTGTGGCTCACAGAGTAAACCTTTTCTATAATTGGTTGCTGTGAATCTATTAATTTTGGGGAAACTGGTCCATTTCAAAGTTTGATTATATGGTAACTGGTTCTGGCAACTCTTGGCTAATTCAAGCAAAAGCCTCCCATAAAGTAGCTAACATAGACAAGTCCTACTCCTTACTTTTTAGAGCATAAACGCGCCCATGAGTCTAACTTGTTCAGTTCTATTATTTTTTTTTTTGATATAGGGTCTTCTTATGTAGTCCAAGCTGGCCTAGCACTCTCCTCCTGCCCAAAGCCTCCTAAGTGCTGGGATTACAGGCGTGTACCACCACAACTGGTTAGCTTGTTCAGTTCTAATCAACTATTTTCTGTGAACCTCAACTCCTGTGAATATCAATAAAAGCTTTTATGAACCTTTTCCCTAAAAAAGTAAGTGAAATTAAAAGTCAGTTGAGAAATAACAAAGGTGCTGCAGGCTTGGATAGAAAGGTTGCATTAAAATTATCATACCAGGACTGACCAAAAGAAAGGAATTGAACTCCCTTTCACAGCATGGAAACTGTACCAGTCCAGAAGATCCTCTGAGATGGAAAGATGGGCTAAGATTCTTGAAGACAGAGTCCAATCTAGGTTCTGCCATTTGTGGCTTCATGCTATTTAATTTAAGAATCCATCTCTTTACATGAAAAATGAGGAGAAATAATTTTTTAGGTCATAGGGTTTTGTGAGGATTAATTGAGAAAAATACATGCAATGCATTACATATATAATCTGCCTTGGTTTGTATCATAGTTATCGCACTGAACAAGCCACATGTCATGGGCAAATTAGCCTCTCTGTGCTTCAGTCTGTCATTGTTGGTTATCTGGGTGACTGTTGTCCTTACTCCATGAATTGTTATAAAGATTAAGTAAAATGATACATAGAAAGCACTTTTTTAAAATGACAGAAAATACTCAGTAAATATTATTATTGATTTAATTTTTTTTATTGTTTTAT